GTTGATAAATACAACTCTTTTTTTGGATGAGACCACACGCTTCAGCTCAGTCTAACAAACCTCTGAAGCAATAAGAGCAGAGAAGTTTAAAAAAAAGAGAGAAAAGGAGAAGCTGAAATTGCAATCCTGATGGTTCTAATTTCTTTTCTCTGTCCTCAGATTTTTCTGTTGAAAGTAGCCTGATTGTAAAACATGTTTGCTTTTTTTTTTTTTAAGTCTTTGGTCACATGGGTGCCAGATGGGTTCAGTGGACCATTTGGAGCACCAGGTGGTCCGTCAAAACCCACCACAGAGCAACGTTATGGTTTCACTGACAGCTAATTACGTCAAACTCATTAATGRGAACCTCACTCGGCTGCCAGAGTTATGACAGCGTATCAGCTGATTAAGATGAGCAACACCAGTGGTGTGTGAACCCAACATCTGCGGCTGTTCGGCCTCTTCAAAGGGAGGATAAACGTTATCAAAGATGGATCTTCTGTTTAGTCAGTTTAATGGTTTCACTCAAACAAAGCGCCGTGTTGTGTTTCAAACCCTTCAGCTCACCTTGCACTCTCCGTTCACGCACACGTCCAGAGACTCGTCCCGACACGGCGTGCCGTCCACCACGGCCGGCGCCCGCTCCGTGTAGAAGTTGTACCCCTCGGCGAGACAGTTCAGAGAGCACGGCTTCACCCCTCCTGCACGCGCAGACACACAGACAGCGGGACACGGTCAAAATGTACCCGCAAAACAACAGAAAAYGCACTTTCAGCTGCACGGAGAAACAGAGCCACTCTTCAGAAGATGCCACACAACAGAGAAACAAAAGAGGGGAACCACGAAGTGCTTTATTTTTTTTTTTCCTGTAACGATGAAAAGAGGAGAACAAGCAGCTGAATGTGGTTACGTGTCTGCTWTTCTGAAATATGTGCATGCAAACACAAAATTACTGGTTAACAATGCTTCAGTGGATGCATATAAACATGCAGATTGATTCCATCCAGAAGAAAAGCAGCTTGATTCCCACTCAGTAAAAATAAAGACAAAAAAAATGAACTAAACAGCAACATGCAACTTGGTG